TTTCAAAATGCATTAAAAGCCTTTTCTTTTCGGTTTTTTATTCATGCAGTTTTAGGGTTTGTTTATTGGTAATGTTTGAATATCTTCGTTGTGATCACTTGTATATGGCTCTATAGTTGCCTGCGTGTCGCTATGCTTAAAACAATATTCTTGTTTCCTTCAAAGTTTATATTAATGACTTACAGATTAACTTTCAGGTTTGAATGAACATAAATTAAAGTACCACTTTAGTCATTAATGTTAAGTACCCTTGAAAAGGGATACTGTTAATTTTTTTAAACTACCGAGGTACAACTGTTTTGCAGGAAACGGCCATATATAAAGAAATACATTCTCTCTATGCATGTTAAAGTCAATTACATGAAAAACATGTTATGATTTAAACTTACAAAGTATCTATCGATATTGGTTTTAATTGTAAAAAAACAACAGCTTAGAGAAAATTGGTTTTAATTTCACAAATGATAACCCAAGTCATTTTTATAGTTGAACGTCTTTTAAAAGGACACGGTTATTCAAAAGAAAAATGAAATGATACATATGGAGATAACGATCAGTATTCAAGATCAAAGGTCCATAAAACAAACAAAATAGGAGCAGAGCAAACACGGACCTCCGAAACTTCAGAGGTGGGATTAGGTGCCATGGAGGAGTGAGAATCCCAAGCCGACCGGTCACACCCGCCGTGTGCTCCTTGTCATGTTCGAATAACGAACAGTAATCAAAATCAAACTAAGGTAAATTGAAATAAAACAAATTAGGATCAGAGCAAACATGGACCCCTACAAATATCTGAGTTGGAATCAGAAGCCATGGAGGAGTAATTTAATGTCTTGCTTGCTTTGTTTACGAATTTGTTCGTACCCAGAGCCTGTTCTTGCGTCTCAAATCAACTGTGAGACATAACTCCACGGATGATTATGTTATGATTGATTGATTGTTTGTTGTTTACCGTCCTTCTCGAGAATTTTTCACTCAAATGGAGTTGCGAAAATGTTATGAGGAAAGGTTGAAGATGGAAAAAAGAATACAAATTTATTTGGGGTTAGTATGCCATTATTGTTTTTATTTTACTCTATACTAATATTCAGATATGGAACAGATGGTTTAAATGATCTTGAATATATGCTTCTTTTGAACAAAAGATGATGCCTGCTAATAAAAGGGCGCAATTAGTACCAATGAGAATTCCTACAGAGTGATGCCAGACTTTATCTTCAAAAACTACATAAATTTTATGTACCTGAAACTGAAACTTTTTTTGGAAATCAACTTCAGAGTACTTGTGTGTACAATTAGAATATTTATAACATAGTGATTTTACAGATGACTAGTGACAATGTATAGAATTTTTTATTCCCATTGTTAATGGAATAAAACAGCTGTATATTATGTATGGGGTACGTGGGTAATTTTTGTATACAATGTTGAAAAGTCGTATGTTTTGATGTTATTAAATTCGGTAAACTTTTGTGATTTTAATTTTTTCCAAAAAAAAATTTTAAAAAGTTTTTGAAAAAGTTCCTTAGATTTTTAGAGTATCCAGAAAAAAAAAAACCGACATAATTAATTTGCTACAACATATTCAAGAAATGGAGTCAATAAAATGTGGATTCTGAAAAACTCAAGAGAACTAAAGGAATAAGTATTTAAAATCGTAAATTTTTCGAAATCAATATCATAAAAATGTATGACTTTCCAACACTTTATAAATTATTCATCACAATAAATCAAACAGGATGCTCTTTGACATCATAGATAACTCTTTTCTGAGTAATAATGGAAGATGTTTATTGTTCTTTTTTTTTGTGATTGGCTATTTATACAAAATTACTTTCATTAAAAATCTTTCTGATTTTACACATCAGTATGAACTTGATATTGAAAAGATATCGGAGTTCCACATTGCCAAAAATCCACAATGTTTTTGAGACCAGATCATCCAACAATCTGTTGGAAGCTCGATTTTGCCCATTTTTCTCAATTTTTAGCTCACCTGAGCCGAAGGCTCAAGTGAGCTTTTCTGATCACATTTTGTCCGTCGTCCGTCCGTCCGTCTGTCTGTCTGTCTGTCTGTCTGTCTGTCCGTCTGTCTGTCCGTCTGTAAACTTTTCACATTTTCGACTTCTTCTCAAGAACCACTGGGCCAATTTTGACCAAACTTGGTACAAAGCATCCTTGGGTAAAGGGGAATTTAAATTGTTAAAATGAAGGGACATATCCCCTCGCAAGGGGAGATAATCAAGAAAAGACAAAAATAGGGTTGGGTCATTAAAAAATCTTCTTCTCAAGAACCACTGGGCCAGTAAAGCTGAAACTTATGTGAAAGCATCCTGGGGTAGTGTAGATTCTAAATTGTTCAAATCATGACCCCCTGGGGAAGGGCTGGGCCACAATGGGGAATCACAGTTTTATATAGAATTATATAGGAAAAATCTTTGAAAATCTTCTTCTCAAGAACCACTGGGCCAGAAAAGCTGAAACTTATGTGGAAGCATCCTGTTATAGTGTAGATTCTAAATTGTTCAAATTGTGACCCCCGGGGGAAGGGCGGGGCCACAATGGGGTATCAAAGTTTTACATAGAAATATATAGGAAAAATCTTTGAAAATCTTCTTCTCAAGAACGACTGGGCCAGAAAAGCTGAAACTTATGTGGAAGCATCCTGGTATAGTGTAGATTCTAAATTGTTCAAATAATGACCCCCGAGGGAAGGGCGGGGCCACAATGGGGTTTCAAAGTTTTACATAGAAATATATAGGAAAAATCTTTGAAAATCTAATCTTCTCAAGAACCACTGGGCCAGAAAAGCTGAACCTTATGTGGAAGCATCCTGGTATAGTGTAGATTCTAAATTGTTCAAATCGTGACCCCCGGGGGAAGGGCGGGGCCACAATGGGGTATCAAAGTTTTACATAGAAATATAAAGGAAAAATATTTGAAAACCTACTTCTCAAGAACGACTGGGCCAGAAAAGCTGAAACTTATGTGGAAGCATCCTGGTATAGTGTAGATTCTAAATTGTTCAAATTGTGACCCCCGGGGGAAGGATGGGGCCACAATGGGGATTCAAAGTTTTACATAGAAATATATAGGAAAAATCTTTGAAAATCTTCTTCTCAAGAACGACTGGGCCAGAAAAGCTTAAACTTATGTGGAAGCATCCTGGTATAGTGTAGATTCTAAATTGTTCAAATTGTGACCCACAGGGGAAGGGCGGGGCCATTATAGGGAATCAAAGTTTTACATAGAAATATATAGGAAAATCTTGTTTCAGTAACTCCTGGATCCCTGTGAAGTATAATGATAAATGTAGATAAAATGTTCTACCATTGAATGATGAATGTCTTATGGACCCAGTGCAGACCTGTTTGGTGGGAACACTATTTGGATAAATTGGGGATTGTTCTAGCTAAGACAAATAAGAAAATTCCTATTTCTAATGCCTATTTTAAGAAAATAAAATGTCTTTCTAATAATTGTAAGAGTATTTTGGAACACGGGCACCTCAAGTATTGATACCTCCCTTTTTTATTTAATTAAAAAAAAATTTTTAAAAAAAGGGGGGGGTATTATCCATACTTCAGGTGCCTGTGTTTGGGAAGGGGGTCATAAGGCTTTACAGTTAATATATTGATCGTACATACACTGGCTACAGTTAATATTGAAGTTGAATATATATATTCAACTTCAATATTAACTGTAGCCAGTGTATACATCCCTGTGTACTTGAAAGAAGACTTAGTAATCACTAATGTTGGACGTTATTTTTGGAGTATTAATTAATTTAAAAAACATTAATTCTATCAGGATAATGTTTAATGTACGTAGTAATCAACCCTGTATTCCCGTGATCGATGAAATTGGGTACATGTATTTCGAATTTTTAATTGATCCCCGGCTCAGCTGTCCTGTGAGCTAAATAAATGAAATAAACATAATATGGAACCAATCTTGAAATCCTGTTACTTTCGCTTAAAACAGTAAAGCAATTAAACGTTGTTTACCTGTATCAATCAGTCCATTTTATCCTCTTCTTTTCAATAACCAGAAAACGAACGACTTAACAGACATCACTTCCTGTTTCGCTTTCGTTTTTAACGGGAGAATTAGTTATTTTATTTTAAGGGTGACTGGAAAAGAGATATCTCTTTCATTAAAAGAGATATCTCTTTAGCTTAGAAAGATATCTCTTTTTGAAAATCTAAAGAGATATCTCTCTAATTAAGAGAGATATCTCTTTTAAACTTGTTAAAGAGATATCTCTCTAACTTTAAGAGATATCTCCCTCGCTTAAGGGGATATCTCTCTAGCTTATAAAGATATTTCTCTTACTAAAAGAGATATCTCTCTTTCAAAAAGAGATATCTCTTTTGTTGAAAGAGATATCTCTCTGAAGTCTAAAGATATCTCTATTAGTCAAAGAGATATCTCTATAAGCTAAAGAGATATCTCCATAAGCTAAAGAGATATCTCTCTATGCTAGAGAGATATCTCTCATTTTCAAAGAAAAAATTATTTTACGAATAAATAGTAAAAGGGCTTGCCATAGATGATTGATATTAATTTACTCATACGCTGTAATACTAGTACTTCAAAGCACCCGTGTGAAATGAGATTACAAATACAATTAGTGGGAGTTAAATCTTTTCCAATATGATTAAAACAATATTTTTTTCTAAATATGTAAAATCTAATGCAAAGGTCTAGAGGGAATTATCATTTCATTTCGTCTACATATATATGCCACAATAGCAATTTACAATGTATGTATAATATATATAAAATTAAGTAGCAAATTGAGTAGCACAGGGTGAACCTACGCCGTTAATTAACAGAATGGTCATTGAATGCTCATGAGCTGTATTGCTGAGATTCATTTTTGTGTTGATTACAGCCATTCTACAAATGACAAAAGTAAATATTCATCTCACAAACCTTTGTCACACAATTTTCCCTCCCAGCCTTCAGTACAGTCCCCCGGACAGTACCCCGATGTAGGGTCACATATCGCGTTATTGGCGCAGTTTCCGGAGCATTCTTTCTCACAATTATCTCCATATTTACCAGGTTCACAGTTTGAGGCATCTGTTTACAAGATGTTTTGTAATAATTGTATTTTTGAAGTTTAAAAAAAAACCCACCAAGAATACATTTCCAATGAATTACACAAATCACTAAAATTGGTTAAAACTCTCAAATAAAAATACAAATTAAAAATACAAATTAAAGACTAAGTAACATCAAAATTATTGAAGTCTTCTTTCATTCCTAAGCCGTTTTCGAATACAAAAATCTTTTTCTACTAAACATGTCCGGGAACTCGGTTTATACGGTCTCATCCGAAAGACCGGTTTCCACGCCCCACAGAGGAAATGGAACGCGCGACGTTAGGATCTAACTCCTTACTGCGCGACCCTAGAGCAGACGTTCTAACAACTACGTCAGGCGGGCGACTCATAAACATTTTTTTTAATAATGGATTGTCAACATTTATTTACTTTTTCAACTAAATGAATATATGTAATAGTACTTAAATAGCTACCTTCGTGTACGTCCAGTGCGTGTTGATTGCTTACAAAAGATTTCCCATCACTTTCTACGACAACTCTGTAATTAACCTCGTCTTTAGCACTCACGTTGATTATTTTCAGCGTGAGTACAATAGTTCCACCGGAAGTCAGCTGACTCTGCTCGTATTTTGGCAGATCAACTGAAATATTTCTGACGTCATCCTTTGATATTTTTTGCCACAAAACAGATGTGATATTAATCTCAGGAATTACGGTAGATTTCAAATATGCTTGATCACCCTGTGTAACGCTGGCATTCCCTATTAGAATAACTGTTGGCTGTCCTGAAATAATTGCATTGGACAGGGTAGATAAAGTTGGATGTTGTTTAATCATTATCATGCAGTGTAAGGAATGAGACAGATTTGTCCATTTATTTTAATTTTCATGTAATATTTACTGTAATTAATAATATATTCTTTAAAAAATAAACAGTAAGACATTATTACATAAAAAAAAACGGGGATGAGATTAATTGAATGTATATTGTTTAATACGGGGGTAAAAGTTGATGATAATGATGAATGTATTTTTGATTAACATTTAAGACATTGCAGAGAATTTTTTACTGATTTATTAGAATTGCTGTTAGACGTTTAATTGTAAAACATACCGTATACATATAAGAATATATCCAATACATTAACAAGAATGAAGAGAACTATATGAGCACTCATTTTATTTTACAAAACAATTTTCTTTTTAGAAATCTAGATTTATAATTCACGCATTACGTCAAATGAAAATTAAGGCACGAGTTCCGCATCTTAATTTTGAAAACTTTACTTAGACAACATTTATGACTGATCTGCATTAACGTAAATTTCATGGGAAATGAATTTAAAGATCCCACGGTTCTAGTGAGAGTAAATTATTTTCTCCTTTTTTGTGGTGTAAAGTAACAAATTATTAGAGTCATTTTCATGCTTATCGGATTTTTAAACACAGTTATCAAAAAAGTAAGGTGTAAGTAGTTTAAGTGTATTTATAATGGAATGTTTAAAGGGATAGATGTAGGGGGTAAAAATATCGTCTAATTCAATTTTTTTTGTTTATTCATTCCCTTTTTGATGGCAAAAATAAAGGTATATTCGTGACATGAGTAGGTGTTTTCTACCTGTGTTTTTAACCTGTATCTATTGACATCTTCACAAAGAAAAAAATAAAACACTAAGCTTATTTGACTCATTCAATCATGTTTTAAAGTTTTTAATTAAACAACCAAAAAAATTATTGCAAAATTTAAGGATAACCTTTTTTTTTTATTTATACAAAATTTTATTCACATAAGTGAATGGGATTGGGCAGCAGGCAAAGCCTATTTTAGCCCTCTCCCTACAAGGTCAAAATGAACACACAATATATAGATATAAAAATAAATAGACACACATAGTAGCAAAAACAAAAGAACAAAAACAAGAGAAAAAAAAGTAGAAAGAGAGAGAGAGAGAAAAAAATTTACAATGAAATACATGTACCGGTTATAAAGTGTTGGCATGAGTAACATACATTACAATTCAAATAAAACGTTTGGTTGCTGCGATGAAAGCATGTACTGCTTCAAATATTTGAGTATTAATATTTAGTCCATGATTGGGACTACCATACAAAAGTAAATCAAGTTCATGAGTTTGATCACAATCAATAATATTTTGAATTGTTTGGAAAAGTACATTTCTTGGAGAGTTATATTTTGGACAAGCAAAAAAATAATGATGAGCATCTTCAATAGAGTCAATACAGTATTCACACATTGGTGTTTCTGATAAAAATTGGTTATATAAGTCTGCCTTTAAATTACTTGCATTATTTCGCAATTGGCAATGTATTATATTGTACTTTCTTATTCCAAAATGATAAATTTCTTTACCTTTTTTACAATAATATGAATTTAAAAGACTTTTAAATGAAGATATTCCAGGGGCATTTCTGATATAATCAGGCAAATCATTCCATAATTTAATAGTTGATGGGAAGAAACTTTCCATATATGATGTAGTTCTAATAGAAGGAATTTTGAATTCTGCATCATTATTTCTTAGATTATAGGGGTGGTTTGTAGGACGAAAAGGTTCAATCAAGTCCGTTAAATATTTAGGTGAATAGCCATTTATGATTTTATATAATAGTAGCAATTTATGAATATTCCTCCTAGTTTGTAAAAGATCCCACCCTAATTCATCATACAATTTTGATCTAGAGGAATTTGATCTTAATCCAGTAATAATTCTACCAGCTTCAACTTGGATATCTTCTAAAAGTTTTGCATCTTTTTCAGAACAATTGTCCCAAACAACATCTGAATATTCTAAAACAGGTCTAATAAATGCAAAATATATCTTAATAAGTGTTTTTCTTTTCATCTTATACTTAAGCATTCTGAGGATATTTAGTCGTTTTGTAGCTTTTTCATGAATTAATTGTATATGCGAAGTCCAGGTAGCATCACTTTGAAAATGTAATCCTAGGTGGGTATGAGATGCATTTTGAATAATGGATGGGCCATGATGACCAAATGTAATAGGCGGATATTTTATATTTTTGCGGGTAAAATCAACATTTACAGTTTTGTTTGGATTAAAGTCAACAAGCCATTTTTTTGACCATTTATCAATTAGGTCTAGATCACTAGTAAGCGACTGTGCTACATTTGTGGCTTCTTTTTCTACAATAGCATATAAAGAGGTGTCATCAGCAAAAAGACGTATATTGTTTGCTAAATCATCACAAATATCATTTATGTATAGGAGAAAGAGAAAAGGTCCCAAAACAGAACCCTGGGGAACACCAGCATTTACTGTCTCATGGTTTGATGAAAAGCCATCAATTACAACTTTTTGTTGTCTATCACACAAATAATTCTCAATCCAGCCTAATATGCTGCCATTAATACCATATTTTTTTAGTTTAGATAAGAGACCTTTATGCCAAACTTTATCAAATGCTTTTGAGATATCACAAAAAATAAATCTAACATCTTTACCTTTATCAAGACTTGAAATTATAGTGTTGTATATTTCTACTAGTTGGTTCACAGTTGAGTCTCCAGGTTGAAATCCTGACTGATATTTGTAAATTACATTATTATCTTTCATAAGATTATGCAATTGTTTAAACAAAATTTTTTCCATTATTTTACATAAGACACTTGTAAGGGATATTGGTCTATAATTTGATACTTCTTGAGCACTACCTTTATTTTTAAAAACTGGTGTAATCTGTGATAATTTCCAAATATCTGGCAACTTTTTTTCAATTAGTGATCTATTAAAGAGTTTTGTTAGAGGGGTTTTAATTGTGCTAGCTATTTCTTTCAAAATTCTTGGGGAAATACCATCAGGACCGGGTGGTTTACTACTGTCAATGATACATAATTGATCATAAACTTCATTTTCAGTGATAAATATTTCAGATAAAGTGTCTGTATTTTGTAATGGTGGACCAGGACCATGAAGGGGAATGTCTGGTTCATCTGTAATAGATGAAACTTGTGCAAAGTATTTATTAAGGACTGTAGCTTTCTCAACTGGATGGAATATAAGTTTACCTTTAGATTTAAGTGGTGGTATTGGTTCATAATTTTTGTTTAGTTTTGATATTGACTTGACTATTCTCCACCATTTTCCAGGGGGGATTGATTTATCAATCATTGAGGATATTTTCTTGTTATATTTTTCACGGGATTTTCGAATTTCATCAATAACTGTATTTCTGAGTTCTCTGTATGTCTGCCAATGCAGTGGATTGTCTGTATGCTTTGCTTTATAGTGTGTCCTATTTCGTTTCCTCATTAATTTCCGTATGGTATTATTCATAAATACTTTATCTCTAGGTCTGATGGTAATGGTTTTCTTAGGAATATGTTTATCAATACAATTGTTTAATGAAGAGACAAACTTAGAATATGTTTCATTGATATTTTTTGAATCATATAAAATAGAGTTCCATTCAAATTGTCTTAATTCCTCATTAAGTGCAGTAAAATTTACATTTTCATAATTTCTTACTACCCTTTTGTAAGCATATTGTTTGTGGATTGTGAATTTAAGTTCAACACTAATAACACAATGAGAGCTGCAAAAAGGTGCTGCTATGTCATGATTTTGAATCAGACAAGTATTATTAGTTAATATTAAATCAATACACGTCCCAGTGCTCACAGTAAAGTTGGTAGCATTATCTATGAGATTTGTAAGGTTGAGTCGTTGTAATAAGAGTTTAAATTGTCTACTTTGGTTGGACAGCATATTGATATTAAAATCACCTAATAATAGAATTGGAATATTAAGATCTAAAGCTTGCTGTAGGTTATATAGAAAATGATCCCAATATTCTGCCTTTGAGTTAGGGGGTCTATAAATAACTCCCACAAGTAATTTATTATTATTTACTACTACTTCAGACCAGAGAATCTCCATATTTCTAGAGTCTAGGTCTTTTCTTTCTGAAAAATGTATACTTTTAGAAATGTATAAAGCAATGCCACCTCCGAAACGATTTCTATCTTTACGCAGGGGGGTATGATACCCAGTAATTAATATATCTTCATCACTGATTGAGTTATCTAAATGGGTTTCAGATATAGCTATAATGTCATACTCAGAAAGTTCAGCTGATACAACATCTATTTTTGAAAGTAGACTACACACATTATTATGTGCTATACGCAAATTTTGTTTAAATAGATTTGGTGGTCCAGGATTTGTTTCCACGCCAGATATGATAAGCAAAAAGTATATAACAAGTAATAAAAAGTAAGTACTCTTCGTTAATAACAATATACGTGAGTAGATCAGTACATACCTAATAAAACTCAATGTCCTTGGCCATCTAAGTAGACACATGCACTTAATCACAACTATCAAATATGAAATAATGCTGAACAAGAAAACAACTGGCCTCGGACATTCCTACACTGCACATGCTAGTTTTGAATCGGAAAAAAATAAAAGCGCAGTAAATGACAAACCGGTATTGATACTGAAATCCGAGATCCGGATTGAGAGAAAGCAAAAAATAAACAAGAATACAAAAAGTAACGTATATACAAATACAAAACAGTTGTACCATTATGAAAGAAGAACGATTGCTGGTTTTAAGGCTAACAGCTTATATAGAGTAATTGAATATAGTTGTATGAAGATTATGATGATACCATGGATACATACAACAGATAAGGAGATTGCTGGCCAAACGTCTTACTGACCATGATTATCAGCTGTTTTAAACAGCTGTTCTTACTAAATGCTCACATTCTAGTATTAAACTCCTCGTTAGTGTCCTCACGTAGGTCATAAGTGTTGGCAGGTGGAATCAGGCTTACAACCCTGGCAATGTCATTTTCGTTCTTTATGTTGAATACTTTGCCCTTTTCAGTTTTTTTAACAAAGATTTTTCCCTCATTAGTCCAGCAGGAGTGGAAGACCCTCTCTTGGCGAAGTTTTCGAATTTTTGTATATAGTTCTGCTCTATCGCTTGTAAGGGCTTCATTGATATATATTTTATAAGTGTTGGAGGGGTTTTCATTAAAAGGTTTCAAGTTTCTTTTATTATTATAGACATTTGCACGATCTCTATACCTCACAAATTTCACAATTATGTTTCGAGGTGGAGTTTTAGTTCCTGGTCGTGGTCTAGGACCTAGGCGATGTGAATTTGAGAT